TTCCCCCCCCCCCCAATAAACAGAATTCTAGGGGCCATCTACCCTTTTTTTCTTTAAAATAAATTTTTATTTAATTTAATTAATTATTTAAAAAAAAAAAATTATTTTTTAAAAAAGTCATTAAAAGGAATTCAAAACATTTCACTTAAAAGTGATCCAAGGGGAGGTGAGTGTCCTCAGGTGAAGTATCTTATTTTCAAAGCATCAGAATGAAACATTTCAGTTCCTTCTAGAAACATTCTGGATGTCTCCAGCCAGACCTGCTTGCCTGAGCTGAACTCCCCTGTTTGTCCCTACGCTGGGTATCCACTAGTTAATGCTGTTTAATACTGGAATAAATACCTCTCCCATCGACACAAGTGTTTGAGCTGATTTAACTGTTGCTGGTTAACTATAAATTATTGCTGTTGTTACCTCCTGAATGAGCTGTACAGAAATAAATGTGAAGCCCGTACAACAATGCCTGGCTGTTGGCAAAGCCCAAGACCCAAGGCATGTACTCGAAACCCCACCGACGTGTTCATATTCAGAGAGCAAAAATTAACTCCAGACACCGACAGACATAAGATAAGGGAGCCCATTATAGCATCCATCAAGCCGTGTGCTCAATCAGACATTTCCAAGAAGCAGGGGCATTTTTGCTGAAATTTCTCATCTCCTCTCATTTATTTGATAACTGACCTTTACGAAATTTGCCAAATCTTGCACAGCCCGAGTACCACTCAGAGGTGTTTATTCTCCCGCAGCCGGCTCCCTGCTCCTAATGATCAGTCTCTTCACAGCCATGCTAACCTTTGACAAGAGCACTTCATGAGCCTTATTAGCTGCTGGGAAGTTGTACGATAGTCCTGTAAGTAAACGGAGGGATCAGGATGAGAAATCTCCCTGTGAAATAGGGTGTTTTGCATAAGAGCCAGCTGTGGTGGTGGCTTGGATGGGAAGAAGCAGGGGAGCATGGCCAGGCTGGGGAAGGCACTGCTGGGCAGTGGCTTTTTGGTGACTCTCACATGAAGGGATAAATGAACCTGGAGCCAGACAAAATCACAGCCCCAACCCCAGAGACTGAGCAGGCAGAGTGTGAAGGCTGATGGTGCCACAGGGAATGGAATTCCTCCTTCGTCTGGGTGAAGGGCAAGGATGGGGATGCCAATGCAGACGGATGGGGATGTTTCTTCCCCATCCCCATCTTCTTCTATGATCTAAGATCCCCATCTTCTTCTATGGGGTGGTACCTGGGAAACTGCATAGGGTAATTTGGGGGAGCAATGGTTGCGTGCCTGGCAGCTCATGGGAAGGTTTACATGCGTCATTCACCCCAAATCACTGCAAGGCTGTGCCTTGCCCTTGGCTCTGAGTGTGCCTGGCGACCTGACTCACCCAGGCTGAGGCCCCAGTGAGAGTTGAAAAGCCCATAGAGGCCTGGGGATGGCTCCAGGTCTGCCCAGGGCAGCAGCACGCAGGAGCAGTGGGGTGGAGGAGTCCTTGGGCCATGGGGAGACCGTGGGGCTGTCAGGCGAGGGGGGATCAACTAAACAAGGTGCATCAAGAAATAATCCCCTACTGAAAAAGGGGAAAGGGCTGGGATATATGCACGCTGCCAGCAGGAGAGCAGAAAGGAAGCCAGACAGCTCCCAGCTTTAAAAGAGAGAGAGAGAAAATGAGCCTTTGCGATATCCTCACCCATTTACACACATAAAACTTTCTAAATGCTAAGCCAAATAAAGTCGTCTTATCAGCGTATTACCACTTAAGGCTCTTTCAGGCAGATTTAGAATGAATTAGTGCTTTTTTTAACTACAAATAGGAGCAAAGTGAAATTTCTTACTCCATCAGTCCGTACGGCTCCTGCCTTAACCCTTGGAGGGGAGAGTGGCTCCTGGGCAGGCGAGGATTGTGTGGGGTCCAGACTGGGCCAAGGTACCTCCTGGTACCAAGGTCTGGTGCAAAATCTGTTGCCTCCCATGGACCCTGGAGATTCTCGGCCAGGTTTTGCTGAGGTGAATCAGCCACATACCTTCCTGATATCCCCCTTACTATGCCGAGTTATGCAGCTTTTGGTGCACAGGGGGTGCCTTCCCTGTCCCACTTCGCCATCCCCAGGAGACTCGCTCCAGCGGTGGGAAAATGCCATTGGAATGACAAATCGGCCACTTGTTCAGGACGATGCCGGGTGCTGTGCCTGTCCTGTGAGCCCTGACCCATGCCCAGGGCCGGTGTGGCCCCTCCGGCTGCATCTCAGGGGGTCACCTGGGGACCCAGAACAGATCCAGGTCCTGTTGTCCTTTCCCACCCAGGCAGGGGATGGGACATGGCACAGACGAGCGCTGTTAGCACGCGCTGTTGTCTTGATGTGTGCCTGGAGACCA